CTCAATTCTCAATTGTGATGAATTTTTCATTCGTTGTCAGTTCCAGGGGCGGGGGTTAATTGCAAGGTCCATATTTATCTACAAGAATTTACCATTTTAAACGTGGTTAGAGTGTCTATGAATAAAAAAATCATCACAATTGAGATAGGGTGAGTGGGCGGGATATATATTCTGCTTTTTTTTTCTTAATATATTATAGTATTCTTTGAATAACACGATACTCATAAACATGTTTATAATTTCTTGTAAAAAATGAGTATTTTGCAGTTAAACTCGGCCCTCTTGGTTCACGGCGAATGAAATAAATCATCACAATCGAGATAGGGCGGGTGGGCGGGTTTACATTTTGTCTTTTTGTTTTAATATGTGTAGATTTCTTTTCACGACATGAAACTTAAAACATGTGTAAAATGCAAAATTTGTAAAAGGAAATATCGCTCCGCCCCATAATTGCAAAATCCATATTTCCTTGCAAAAACCATTTTAACCGTGTTTTAAGTTTCTTGTTATGAAAAGATGGCTATGTATATTAAGAAAAAAAGGCCAAATATAAGCCCCGCCCACCCGCCCTAGCTCAATTCTGATGATTTTTTTTTTCATCGTAAATCGTTGCCGTTACCATTTGAAACATGTTTTAAGTTTCTTGTTGTGAAAAGATGGCTACACATATTATAAAAAAACACTCAAAAAAGAGGGTAGAATATTGATAAACCAAGAAGACATAATAAGGCTATGGAAAGAATATATTGACGAACGAAAGAAAAACAATAGACGTGACAAGAAAAATGCGAAGCAAATAGGATAATGGAGGCAGCAAAAAATTAAATGGAGACAGACCAACAGAAAATGATGGAATCACTTCCTCAATTAAGCCTCAAAATGAGAGCCGAATCCGAAAGAATTGGGAAATTGGAGTATTATACTACTTTATATATATATGTATATCAAAAAATAGGAAAATTGATTACACAATAGAGTGAAAACAACAATAGAAACACAAATAGAAGAACCACAAAGTGCTTTCAGTAAAGGAAAAGGATATCACATTCTCTATAAAACAAATGATAGAATTTAATTTTTGTATGGTAACTCTTATAAATTAAACTAAATATATGTGTAGACTATCCAAGTACAGGTAAAAAAGCATGCTAACAAAATTTTGTGACGACGTCATCAACATTTTAGCAAAGGCACTTACCTGTATCAAATTGAATAGGTGCAGTGTAATAATAATAATAATAACAATTCTGTATGATAAATTTTTTTAAGAAAATGAGGTGAATAATTATTTTATTTATCCATCAAATATAGTGCTTCATTCATTAATTTTTACTTCCCGAGCGTAAGCCCATCAAGTCCATCGGACGAATGACCACTTTTATATTTTTTTGACGTTTCTTGACCCCTAGAGTAGGAAAAATGTAGTCTCCTGTTTCCGTCTGTCCGTCCGTCCGTCCGTCCGTCCGTCTTTTCTTCCGTCCGTTTGTCTGTCTATCTGGTGTCTGTATCCACAAGTAATCTCAGAAACTGCTAGACCGATTGTTGTCAAATTTTGTATGTAGATTAGAAATATCATGTAGATGGTAAAACGCTAACCAAAATTTTGCTAATCATCTCCACCAATAATTTGATCACGCCATTTAAAAGAATTCTATGTTTATTTGTTTTAACTGTTATACAACAATGTACTCCTAAAAGTGTGGTGTACGAGTCTACTTTGGGTTTTCCCTAACCGTCCAAATTATTCCAAACCATAAAGCACGGTATAATAGTAGTTTACCATTAGCGTAAAGCATCCCGGTCGTGGTTTAGTGGTTAAGGGGTGAACAATGCGGACTGGACGTCGCGCGTTCGATTCCAGGCTTGGACTTTCGTTTGTTTCCTTTTTTTTTCTCTTTTTTTCTCGCATTGTGTATTATCTATGTTTATTACGTTATGACAAATTTTTTATTGGTCAAATTAAGAACGAGTCACCCTATTTTCTCGAAAATGTGAGAATACCCACGGCTTAATATATGTATATATGATAAAATAAGGATTATAATATTCAGAACACTTTCTTTGATTGTGGTTTAATCAATAATTTTAGTCCTCTGTTTTGAGAAGATAAACTCATCCAAATCAAACTAATTTCTACGTGACATTCTTTCGATGTATAAACATAAATAAACGCTTGAGCTTCAGACTGCTATTACCTACTGCTGAAGGACATTTTATCCCGTTAGTTAAGTGCTTTAAATATATTTTACATTGTCCGTGCGGCGCAGGGGCTGCGGGAGTGTTATTTATGCCGCTGGTTTTTGCTTTACAGCGATTATTTCAAAACAAAAATCGTAAAATCAAATTTTATAATTTTTTTAACGCGCTGGATTTCTCGGACTATGCTTCATGAAGTTTTGTTGAAATAACCTTCCTCTAATTTTTTTTAATCACACATTATAAATAATAATTCATTGATAAACCACAAGTACAGAGGCATAATATTTTGCATTTTAATAAACAGACAAATATTGATTAATGATTTAGGATGCTTACGATAACAAAAATCTGAATGTCTCTGGTAGAAACTCAACACTGATTCATAAATCACAAGTGTATATGTATGTTATTCTATAAAATTTAAATAGCATTATTGGTATTAAAATTAGCACAGACGACAGACAGCAAACAGAGACAAGTCAAAATCTGTGTAATGTCAACATTTTGTTCATGTTTTCTTTGTATGTGCCACCATGGGACCTTAGAGACCCAATTTTATTTAATGGGACTTGTTACAGAATTGTTTGATGTTTACGGTCTAAATCGGGTGGTCCCAAGAATGTGTAACGTAGATAAGAAGTGCCACCATCGAAACTAAGGAGGTGTTGAGGCAAGGTGGAGCATTAAAGCCAACATTATTTAATAAAACACTGAATGATGTAACGAAGGCGGTAAAAAAGAAAGTAAAACAACTGTATATAAGAAGCTAGAACCAACATACGTAGCGGAATATGCTTTTGTAGACGACTTGATGATATTTGTAAGAAATGAAACAGATCTACAACAAATCGGGTTATAAAAATAAATAAATAAATAACACATTCTACAATTTCTTTTTCCAATTTTGGACAAAAATCAATCATTTTTACGGCTTAATCCTTATTTGAGAGTGAATCAAAAGTATCGAGGTGTGTTTTGGCACAAAAGCCGCCTCGATCACCGGATTTGATACCTTTAGATTATGTCGTGTTACTGTTTTAGAAAAACACCATCAGTGGACACAACTAAAGACCTAAAGTGAGTATCATACAAGTGTGTGTTTAATTTTTTTGAATCCATTCCTTCAAAAAGTGAACCTCTACTCTTTTTACGTAATAACTATTGAGAAGTCGCTTTTGCCACAAGGAAATTTTATACTTTAATTGTTGAACTGGGCAGCAATAATTAGAAATTGCGTTTCTCAAATGTTACTGGGGCGCAGTGGTTAACAGCGCTCTTAGTTTAAAAATGAGTTTTAAAGTACCTAATTAGTGCCAGTCTTACACAACGTAAAAATGTATTAATAAATAAATATAATATGTAGCGGGCCGAGGTAATAAACTGGCTTGAAATTTTGCAGTTGAATATGTTACTTACAAATTTGTGGAAATTTTGAAGTTACTTTTGCGTGTGACGAAAGAGCAATTTTTTTTGTAAGAATCAGAATAACATTCCACGAAACCCCTTAGGTAACTCGTGTTTCATAAATACACATTTTACAGATCACTGAATAATTGCACAGCTGGAACACGATAGTTTTATCTAATCAACAAGCAATTAAATATTGCTCCAAATAAAAATCAAATTTCAGGTAGTCGGTCTTCGTTAGAATCAAATCAACAAAAGTCAGATATAATTAGAGAGTAACCTCGTTCAATGTAAAGTACGAATGACAACATAGTCAAACTTGCACAAGATTTAATCCACCGTTGGACAATTAGACGCATTTATTTTAATGTAATTAACCAAACAAGAGCAAATTATTACTTCCTGTGTTCCGTAACTTTCAAATCTTGTTTTCTTATCGCTCAGAACATCGATAATCGCTATTGATTTAGGTAATATGAATATGACACATCTCATACACGCTCTAATACCTCTAGCCTGCAAGATAGCATAATAGACTTTTATAACAAAAATAATAGTGCCTACGATGCGGTTATAATTATCCTCATAATATTAATTAAATTGGTTTTAAGAGCACATTCTTTACGTAATTCTGCAAACAATGCGAGGTATTCACAACGGAACAATTTCTGCACAAATCGTAATTTAATGATTTCAGTGGCGTAACGTGACACTTATTGTAGTGGAATTATGGTAAAATAGCTCGGAAAACGGAACTAGTTTAACTTCAATCTGTGTCTCACCTATCACTATTGTTAATTTAATACGTAACTGCTTTAAAGACGTTTCCAAAAAAGGAATATTTCGTTATAAATACCACTCTTATTTTCCCTTAAACCCATAAAAATTATACGTTCCCAAAGAACGGTTATTTAATATCTTTTTAATCGTTTGAGTAATTTTGATTCAGCATTGTAATCTGTAAGTATATATTTCTTCAGACGAAAATTACATACACATTAAAACCGTTTGAATTAAATACTTACCTAAATAAAAAAAAAGTATAAACACGAAAATTAAAATCTTTACTTTATTCGAAAGAAAATCTAATCAGTAATGTTAATGTTAATCATTATATGAAATATTGTACGAAACAGGCAACTCCTTGTATAACCAGATACGTCGTGCGTTTATAACCGAGTACGCGGAGCTATTTGTGTACAAGCCTCTTTAGCTCAGTGGCAGAGCACTGGTCTTGTAAACCAGGGGTCGTGAGTTCAATCCTCACAGGAGGCAAGCAAGGTTGATATTTGCGACCTAACTTTTTTTTCACAATATTGTTACTTTTACACTAAAACAACAATATTGCTGTTATATTTTTGCATTAATAAGTAACATATTTATTTTTATTTCAGGTGTTATGTATATATCCAGATCTAGTCGCACCTTGGCCGATAGCTGGAGTCGCTTTATGGCTGGGTTTAGTTCAGGATCTTTTAATTCCTATAGGACTCAGTATAGTCGATTCACGATTTTGTAAATGGGTGTCTAACGTTTACAAGTGTTCGAAAAAGCGAGGAAGCGATAAGTTGCCACACGGTAAGGATTTTTATCTTGGCGTATTTAAATATTTGTTTCAGGATTAACAAAGTGTTGTGTGTTTGTTGGCTGATACACCTATAATTGCGCTTCGTTTAACATTACAAATATACAGTATGTCTTGATGATTTGCGATACCTACTTTTAACACCCATGTCTTGTGCCATGTTATAATTATGTGGAAGGCATAAATCACACGACTTATTATTGAAATTAGCTATCTGTTATAACAATACACAGCGAGTTAATATAAATACAATTAAAGGTGGTCATAAATCGCGCGTGATTACAATAGTGACTGTACTGTGAACGTTAAATCAATAAATTAATGAACCTTTCAGAATTTTCAGCACGTGTACAGTTGGTTGCATGCATTACGTGTCACTGTTGTGGCATTTGGATTATTTTATTTTGAACCAACACACGGCAGGTTTACACGAAGTACAATTAAATTTCTTACGATAATTTGGCCATTGCGTGACTGACATTGATGATTTTAGAAAATATTTATGTGTACAGAGAACGTCGACTGCAGATAGAAAAAATAAATTAAACATTTTAAACATGTGGACAATGACTGAACCGTTAATTTAGGCTCGTAAACACATCTTGACTTTACCTTCACAACAATCTTAGGAATATTTAAGCTTAAATTGTCTAAAGTACGAACAAGTATTATCATTATTGGGAGTAGATATTTTCAGAAATGTGGTAGAATGAATTTATATATATATATATATATTTTTTAACCAAGTTACTTCCATATAATAACACGTTTTTGAATAGAATGATGTCATGAGTTTTTTGAAGGAAACAATAAATATATATTCATTTTTCTGGAAAGTCAAAAGTGTATCATTTTTTCACTAGTTTGTCCTAGCTATTTGTAAAATGTAGTTTTATTTCATTTGAACTTCCATATATTTTCTAGAGTATGAAACAATAGGTCTCTCGTTTTTTTTTTATCATAGACCGGGTGTCCCAGCGTGCAATTTTTTTTTTTAATATAAAAGGGTAGCATTTTTCAATACATTGAATAGTGCCCTTTTTTGTCTTTTGAACAATATACCACATGATACGATGTTATTTACTTGAATGTTTTAAAACGTCCTTAAAATACAAAAAAAAAAAAATTAAAACGATCATATGCAACTAGTATTTTAATAAAATAAAATTTTAAAGCAAAATAAAACGATATAAAAACAATAGCTCTAAGTTTCTTAGAGGTTGCTGATACACCCTATCTTTTAAATGGTCCCCCAAAAAAAAAAATCGAGAGATGTTAGATCTGGAGATCTGGCAGGTCACCGAATTGCTCAATTTTTGCCAATCCATCTTTGAGGATATTCTCAGTAAATAAGTTAGTATCATTGCTAACTTTTCTGCATTGCAAACATTTTTCGTTTTCCATTTTTTGACACTACAATACTTCATTTATTTTAATCTAGAAGTGACAAGCCAGAACACGAAAATAAGAAGACACGTTGCTTGAGAAATCATTTATAGTACTACAGACTGTACTCTTTTAGATTTATAAAAAAAAGTTGATATCATTTCCTGTGAAAGTGAAGCCAATTCGATGCCAATAGGCTACTCATTTAATAGATTGTATTGCTTATATTGAATATGCCCAAGTAAAAGTTTTTATGTTTTAAAATAATTGAGATATTTGAGTGGAACAGGTATGTTGGGACACCCGGTATCTGTATGACAGGAATATCGTGTAGATGGTAAAGCGCTAATTAAAATTTGTCTGATTATCCCTACCAACAATGTGATGACGTCATCTCAAAATTTTACATAATACTTCTTTTTTAAATTTTGTAAATTAACATACTCTTGCACTTGTGGTTTATGAATAAGTCTTGAGTTTTTACCCTAGACATCCAGATTTTTAGAAAACTGCAAGATTTCAGAACATTCGATTTTGTAGTTTCAAATGTGTTAAGGTTATCATAAACGTGATAAATCATTAATCAAAATGTATCTGTTTGTCCCCCCCCCTTCAATTGAAGACATTTCAAAATTTTGAAATTTTGCCTGGTAAATCTTTAAATTTGTAAAATACCATACTGCTGTACTTGTGGTTTATGGATCCGTCTAGGCTAAAAGGTCTAGAGTAGTGTAGGCTTTGGAAATGTTTAATTTCTTTGATTAAACCGAAAATTAAACTGAAGATGCCAGTTCATTCTTGCTCCGAATTGCAGACCACTTTGAATTTTGCAAATAAATTTCATTTGACAAGTTTAGATTTTAATTTATGAAGTTTAATCAAAGAAATGAAAAACATTTCCATAGTCTATCCTAATCTCAAACCTTTTGATCACTTGATTAATATAAGAGGAACATTGTGATCGTCTAAAAGAAAGCAACGTCGAACCTACGTTGTGTTTTTTTTGTGGCGGAATGCGTTCAGATGCAAGTGGTGGACTCTAAGGTTGGAAAAGTACCGCTAAATGGAACACAAAATATATGGAGGACACAAAATCATTTATTCCTCTACTGACAAAAAAAAAGAAAAAAAAAACCTGCGACTAAGGTGTGCCGATTGAAGACACCTCCTAATGCTTAGCTACAAAAAAAAACTTGTCTAACTTTGAATGGAATCCAATTAAACGTTCTGAATCAATACAAATTGAATATCACAAATTTAGTAAAAACAAAAAAAAATCAAATACACAAGTTATTACGGGCGCGTGGCAGCAATTTTAAAATTATGGTAGTCAACAAGAGAACAAAACTTTAATAAAAACTGTATGCAGCGACAGCGACACCAGAGCGTTATAAGAGAGTGGCGGTCGAAATATTTCAATTTCAATGTAGATCACAGCAACATTACCCATAAGGGGCGTTGTAGCAAGAGCAGAGTTTGGGGCTCCTGGTCGTGGCTGTTCTCCCTCCACGACGGTGATTCTATTCTATCAGCAAACAGAACCCCTCCATTACGAACATGCCGTACGAGCAGGCCGTTGCGATCACAAACTCGTGGTTGGCTATTGGGCCCAACCGACAACGTCACGTCATCCCGACCGGCCCTGACGTCTATTCTAGGCATGCATCTTTTGTGCAGATGGCGCGACCGCCAGCTCAACAAGGAACCGCGCACTCTGTTTTTGGCACGTGTTATTGTGTCATTTACCTCAATTCCATTTAAATGTTCAATTTCTATACCTCTGAAATACACTCTCATGAAATTTTAAACAGCAAAGAATGCTTATCTTGGACATCAAACAATTTATATGACTGAAACATTAATCAACAAAATATTTACACAAAAAAAATAGCAAAGATTTATAAAAACAAAAGAGATCTGGTGTGAAATAAAACTTGTGCAGACAGAAATATTACGTGAGGTTAGGAATTGCGGAGCATGAAAATTTACGTTCAATTTAAATTATGCAGCAAAGAAAATTACTCAGGCTAAAATTGCGAGATAGAAAAAAATTGCATGAGGTGAAAAATTGCAAAGCTAACAAAATTACATGAGTTTAATATTTGCCACATTTTATCAACGATTCAAACAAGAATTTACCTGATGTTAAATTATGCCACACTTTATCAACGATTCAAGCAAAGAATTTACCTGAAGTTAAATTATGCCACTATCCAAGTCATCGGTTACTTACAACAATTAGCTTTGAGAGTTTATATCGTGGATGTCCCCAGCTTATCCCAAACAAACACATGGTAAATAAAGACAAAATGCTTCTCAGTGGTTTAATTTCCAACGTCCCGAGGAAATATACCTCGATGATGTGATTATGATAACGATGAAAACGACGGGAAAAATTTTAACCCCTCCGTACCTCAGTCCATGACATTATAAATTCTACCGCACTTTCACGGTCCTATTTCCCAGAGTGGGACAACGTTAGGTTGATTTAACTGTCATAAATGAACTATTAGCAATGTTATGTGAGGAATTAAGAAGCATTATAATGTAACACTTAAGTATAAGCATCCAGAAACCTTATTCATAATTTGATAAACAAAGAATAAGTCCTGACTAAGTGAATTTCATAAAATCTCCTAGCAAGTGCTTCATCTAAACAAACTTCTGACTTTTAAATTGTGTTAGAACGAGTTAACGATTAAAATCCTAACATGAACTGTGAATTTACAAACAACAAAACAAATTTACACCATGTGTTAGCGTCGGTCGAAAATTCGCATATTTCCGCTTGGAAAACCGAAAGAATTAGCTACGCGTGTTGGGGAAACTGTGGCATTGTCGTCGTTACGATTAATTTTCGTTAAATAAAGGCTCTCCGTTTTTTATTAACTACTAAACCAACTAAACTTAACATAGCTTCCTTACCGCGTGTTTTCACTCACCAAAAACAAACCAACAGTGACGGGCCACCTACCCTCAACTAAACAAGTAAACTTCACAACCAACCCTCTCACCAGATACTCACAAATTCCCCTAGGAGAGCTACCAACTACCAAAAAAGCACTAAACTTGCACATGGTTGCCTATGTTTAACGATTTCCTTGTTTGAATTTTTTTTTCGAATTCAAAATTATTCAAATGCGATTTCGCGCCGCTGTTTTTTTTTTCAGCGCGAAATTTTAATTCAAATCTGGTCACCACACTATTGAAGCCCAATTTTGTTCAATTGTACTCCAGGGGCGAGGCAAGTTTTATTTAAATATATAACTTTAGACCAATTGTGTTATCACACTATGTACAATTGTACAATTTTTTAATTAAGTACTCCTATATTCTGTAACACACATGAACATCAACATATCCGCCCAAAAATATTTGTATAGCTAGTATATCGATATGTATATTAGGAGTATCATATGTAAGTGGTTAAACGTTAACCAAAATTTGGCTAATCATCCCTACCAACAATTTGACCTTATCTCAAAGAAATCTATTTTAAAATAATTTAACTGTTATACTCGTACAAGAATATACTCCTATACTTGTAATGTATGAATCCGCTTTTAATTTTTCCCTAAACCTTAAAATTTTCGCAAAGAATGAACACAGTATAATAGCCCCTTAATTAAATTTTTTTAGCTTTTGTGCTATGACTAGTATTATCTATGTTGATGACGTCATCACATTTTTTATTAGTCAAATTAAAAACGAGTCACACCATTTTCTCGAAAATCTAAGAATACACACGTCTTTATTTAAAAATGATAAAATAAAAATTATAATGTTCAGAACATTTTGTCCAATTGTAGTTTAATTAATAATTTTAGTCATGTGTTCTGAGGAGACAAAATCATTCAAATCAAATTAATTTCTACGTGTATGTTCCATATATAAACATAAACACTCGAACTGTTAATAGTGCTGAGAGGAAATTTTTTCCTCTTGGTTATCTGCTTCAAATATATTTTACATTGTCCTTACTTAGGAGCGCAAATTCTTGGCACAGGGACTGTGGAGGTGTTATTTATGCCGCTAGTTTTTACTTTATAGACGTTATCACAATATAAAGACAAAAGTTCCAAAATAAAATTTTATGATTTTTTAAAGAAGCGGGATTTGTAGGATTATACTTCAAGGACGAGGGATATTCTGTCGAAATAACCTTAGACCAGTTTTTCTGAATGAGTTTAAAAGAAACTTGGAGGTTCCTAGTTTTTCTTTTTGAAAGAGATTAACGACCTGGACGGCTTTTGGTGTTTACTTTATGAAAAAATTTGCGAGAATTTTGGAGACCCCTACTGTTTGTCTATCTTCTATTTTCTATCTATTTATCTAAAATAATCTTGAGGTTTCCTGGTGTTTTGTTATACAACTAATTGTGTTAGTAACATTATCGGTATTATGTTAATGTTAATATATTTGTATTATGTATTATTGATAAAATATGATTTCTCAATTCATCCATTTTAACCTAGCATATCTAGATTTTTGAAAAAGTTCAAAACTGTACAATATAAAACTTCACAATTTATTCTCTTAGATTTATCATTAGATGAAATATACACTTCTTTATTGAGTTTTCGATTTACCTCAATTTCGTTGTATTACGACTGCTAATTCCCATCATACCAATGAAACTATATCAATTCACACAATCATAATAATTACTTTAATGGTTGCAGTTGGCTTAGATGGGAAATTCCGTCCCTTCAGCAGCCCCCCACAAAGCCTTGAAGTTGCGCAACACCACCAAACCAGACCACTTCAAACAATGGAGCATCGATTCCCCATCACTAACGGCTCTCTATATACAAGCATAGATGGAAGGTTACCAGTCATCCACAACTACAGACGCCATAAAGACTCACGTGGTTGTAAATTGATAGCAACAAAACGAAAAATGTCTAATCCATATATTTCCAGCTTTGAAACAACACAACGACCCAATGCACGTTCGTCGCCAAGAGTTTTTCGACCACTCGTTTCAACCCCCTCCACCTCCGCAACAAGAAGGGTACAGTTGTAGAAGCTGCGAGGCAGACCTTTGCCCAAGTCATTCAAATTTGCATCACTTGAGTCCCCATTACATAAACAAGCAGCTTAATTTAATGCACCACAGCAATCTTCTACTTAATAAGAATCCACTATTGGTCAAAAGGACCAGTCTGAGTCAGGAAAGCTTGAGGTACCTTCCGGAAAACCAGGGGTATCAACAAGATCAACTGCATAACCCTATCATCAAAAATTCCAGGAATTTAGTGAGGTTGAACAAAATGAGGCTGTGTAAGAGCGAAGATAGTCTGAATGACGTCGGTAAAGAGTTGCAGAACTTTAAAAAAAATCCGGAAGTCTTTCAAAAAGCGAGGAATAAAGACGTGAATGAGCAGATTTTGGATTACTCCAGTTCGGACGAGGAATACTTGACAGACAATAACAACGAACGACAAAATTTCGATACTTTGAGCTCGAGGAGCTCGTATTCGATAACGACGGAAGCCAACTGTGATTTTGAGTTCTTTCAGAGTAAGGAGACTAGAAATCAGACGAATAATAATTTTTGTGAAAATAGGGTACCGATGTCGACTTTTAAAACGACAGATCAGTTTGATAGAAATAGTAGACCTAGTTCGAAACGGTCCCTTGATAATGTTGTCCAGATTTTTGTCAAAGACAATGATTTTGCTAATCATGGTAAAATCCAAAGGTCTAATTCTTACATGACGCTTGAAGATAGAAATAAAAAGAGGAATAAGAAGTTGTTGAGATCTAACTCGAAACTGTCAGACTGTACTCATAATATTCGACAAAAAATCAAGTCTGTTGAATATTTGCCAAATTCTAACGCTAGTACTGTTTTTATAGAAGATGTATTTTATTTTAATTATCCCAATCAGAGAAATCGTGGAGAAGTAAGGAATTACGTCGGAAGTGTACCTGATTTAAAAAAAGTGTTTATTTCTGAGTATATATGAAGTATTTATTGTACTGAGTTTTTAATTTGTAAATAGTAACTCATGTGATTACATTATGTGTATATAGATAATGATGATCAATAATAAGTACCTACTGTATCTTGTAAATATTTAGACTAATAAGGACCTTACCATGTACATATCTTTGTCTAAAAAAATCTGTTAACGTATTCATTAATAAATAGGACAATATTACGTATTACTGAAGGGAATTTATCATAATTAATGTGTAATTTAATATCGATGGCAAACCTGGCGAGCGACCAAGATATAATAGATTTGATATCAGCCGTACAAGCAATAAAAAGTAGTGGGACAAGCACAGAGCCCTGATGTACCCCACTATTCGCTATTAATCCACTCCAGTCGTTATACTAGTATCCCTGGGAACTGATCTATCCGATCCGGAGAACCAGTAATTCTAGCTGGTCTAAAATGACAGCTCCCTGTCGAGTTTGTCGAAATGACATTACTGATACATTACTGATACATTACTGACTATTATTTGCAGTGGTAGGTATCTGGAAACAGCAGTTTCGTACAAAGTCTGCTAATCGTACTGCTGGAGTGATAAAAAACATACTAAATACTCAAGGTTTATACTGGAAATGTACCGAATGTTATAAAAACTGTTTTTCTATTGATTACACCGGACTCTTAAAGGAAAAAAGCATTCTCAGTTGTTAGGTAATTTAAACGGCGTATTTGAAGCCCTGAAAACTAAACTTATAAAAGTTGCAACAAAAATTCTGAAGTATTTAAATAAATTAAGAAATAGTTTGTAAAGAATTACTTACTCTTGAAAAACATAGGTCACCTGGGTCTGACAATATCTCCGCTTTCTTCCTTAAACATTCGCTACACAACTTTCTAAACCTTTAGCACATAATATTGTGTCTCAGTCAACAAATTAAGAAAAACTGGGGGTATTTAAATGTGTAGGTGAAGTCGTGAAATTACCCCAAATCAAACTTTTTCTCTTTCTATCTTATGCACTTTGTGTGAAACAAAAAATCATCAAATTTTGTGTATGGCGTAGAGTTTTATGTCAAATTTGGAAATTTGTCATTTGTCCCAGTCAAAAATGAAACGATTTAAAGACCAAGCAAAACAAATAATTTTAAATGTGTTAGAATATCTTGATAAAAACCAAGATGTTTTGGAATTTAAGAAAAAAAGGAAGACAGAACTGGCCGCAGAAATAGTGAAAATTTCGGAAATACCTGTGTATAGGCTACAAAAAAGTCCAGGTTTAAGTAACTTTGAATACAAAAAAAAAATATCTTCTAGAAATAGTCACATAAAGAAAGTGAATCCTGTAGATTTAATGTTAATACGAGAGATTATCCAGAAAATGGTTGTTTCTAATGAATACATTACTATTAACTTGCTACACGATCGAGTAATGGAAGAGATTTCCGATTCTAACGCTGGTCCTAGATCGTTAACCAATTGGATAAAGAAAATTGGTTTCAAATTTAAGAAATATAGTAACAGATTATTTTTGATAGACCGGTCTTCAGTTGAATTGAAAAGGACAAAATTTTTATGTGAATACCACCAACACAAAGAAAGAAAATTATATGAACCTTTTTCTTGATGAAACGTGGGTATTTGGTAAGGGTAGCTATGCAAAAAGACATGGCAAGACGGTTCAGCAAAACCCTGTTTTTGCAAAAACTGGTAAAGGATGCAGATACATTGTGGTTCACGCTGGAAATAAATACGGTTTTATTGAAGGAGCCTCTTTAATTTTTAAAGGTAATAGCAAATCTGGACAATATCATGATAACATGAACCAGGAAAAATTTTTCAAAATGGTTTAAAGAACAGTTGATACCAAGTTTGCAGGAACGTTGTCTTATTGTGATAGATAACGCAAGTTATCATAGTAGAGTTGAGGTGTCAATTTAGTCTTCATAGGTATTCATATATTGTAATTAAACTTTAGTTTATCTGTAGGAAGAAATTCCTTCAAAAAGTTGGACAAAGGCAAACATATTTAAATGGAAATGGGATTGATTATCCATCCAGGCCCATGAAATACCAAATCTGGGGAATATTGGCTAACAAACAACCCCAAAAACGTTCTCATTTAGATTTATACGCCCAACATCATGGGCATTGGGTAATGAGGCTGTCACCTTACCACAGTCATTTGAACCCTATTGAAATGGCATGGTCAGAGCTTAATAGAAATTATGATAAGATCATTCCAAGAACCAGTTCTTCCCTTAATGATGTTTGTGCAACTTGGCAAAATGTGACTGATCAAATTCCGGCTGTGCATTGGGACAATTACATTAAACATACCTACTGATAAAATAATTAATTGTGGTTGGGAAAATGAAAAAATTTTAGATATTTCGGAACAGAATGAGATTATTACTAATATTAATTCGGATGATAGTGAGAGTGGAAGCGAGGATGATAACAGTAGCCTTGAAGATTTAGATGTCGATATGTTATAACTTGAAACTTTCTTATTAAAGTTTCCGTTTTTTCGTTTTTTAATGAAGTTTAATTAATTCAGTAATGAAATAGTCCAGTTTATCAAAAAGAAAAGTCAAAATTTACCATTTTCTTTAGTTGATGGGTTTCACATAATCATATAATAGCAGAATTTAAGAGGTTTTGATAGTGTACTGCATGTATTCGTTCAAAATAAAGTTGTTGTATGAAATATAACAATTGGAAACAGAGAACGTACGCTACTAATTAATGAGTCTTCCAACTCACAATTAAGTTTACAAAAAATGTCTCTTATTGACTTTCCTTTTTTAGTACCTGTACCTTTTAATAATTGAAAATTTGAAATTTAGATTTATCCATAGCAAATGTTACATTCTAAGTGCTTTTGACTAGAGGTATTTCCACAATTATATAGAAAATTTTATTTGCAATGAAAAAATGAAAAACACTTCAATTAAAGAAACATACAGAATTAAGCTTCTAACTTAATACCTTAAGACAGCTAAACATTAATACCCGTAAATCCAAAACATACCAAGGTCTAATTTGACCATTTTCCAATAAGACCAAAAATAAATTTAATCTAACCCATTCCAAACTTATTGTTCTCCCTAATCCTTACATTATTTAGTACAATCAACTTCTATTCATTCAAATATGTAAACAAAAAAAAAAAAAAACAAAACAAAACGATAAACATTGTCACCCAAAACTAACTGATACAATTTTTGTAAACTATTGTACGAGTATACAGCGTGTTACAAAAAAAGTACATTAATTTTAACTGGTAATAGAATTAATCCGAAGCAATTAAATTTGTAAATAACATTTTGTCGTAAACCCTTCCGTAATTGAGTTAAAATTAGTCAAAGATTTAATGCAAATTCACCTACCCGCCCATGGCTAACAAGGCAGTTTCTTGTGGAGAGGGATAAGAAATGAACACAACACGGAACAAAAAATGTAAACATTTGAATGCAAGGCTGTAATAGGTAATGAAGACCTACCTTGAAATCGCCAAAAACTTCATAATAAATGTTCAAAGTGGCCACCATTATTGTCTAGACAACACTGGACACGGCGACGAAAAAAAAATGTTTGTAACATAATTTAATTGTTTCGAATTGTTTCAGCAGCATGTATCACTCGTTCCCGCAAAATTTCAAGAATATCAAAATTCTTTGTGCTTGCACTGCATTTCCCTGGGCTTTTCCATACACTTGCACCATGTCCGTGTATTCACTGTGACAAAAAAATTGGTTTTTGAAAAAATGCCAAATAGAAAAATGTTTTCTGTTGACGAGTTCTATATTACTTTTTTCTGTAACACGTTCTATAATTTGCTTTGTTAATTAAGACAAGTAATAAAAATATTTAAATAAATATATAAAAAACTTCTTTTTCCTACATTGTTAATTTGAAAAATGGTTTTACAAAAAGTGCTCGTATATGTTTTCATTTGCCGAGAGATCATTTTCAAAGGACATTTATAATAAAAATATGCTAGTCTTGGGCATAAAAAATGTACTCTAATAAATTATTAAAGTACATAAAAATGTAGAAACAAATTCTATTTATTTCAGAGGGATTTCTTTCGTTTTGAATCAGTTATTTCTGGGTAATAAGGCCCCAAAGTAAAATCTGCCAAGTTTATCTACCATATTTTTACATACTTCTTCGTCTTTATAAGTTTATTCTATACTTATTGTTTTGGGTGTCCAACTGTCCACACAACAAAATAAACTTGTGAAATACCCGTAACAAGCATTTGTCCGCGGATTTGAAAGTAGTAATCGTGATTTTTTTAAGTTTCAGTTCTCTACCTATCAATGTACAAAATTTTATTTTTTTTTTTTCTAACCGCTTCTTCGGGAGACAAATGAGACAAATCTTATTGATTTTCAAGGGCTTTTAATTTCGACTAATGCACTCCTATCCTCTAGAACCCTGTCTGGACTAGCAGCCAAATAAAGAAATTGTGTTGAAATAAACAAACCACACAGTTCAGATTTTATACATATTTTTATCTATTTCAAAACACTTGACAGCTTTTTCCTAACTTTGTTGTCCATAGTATGTATGTATGAATATTACCTCTAAATGTACTGCACACCAGAGACTCCACAGTTTTAGATGTTGCTGAAGTCGGTCTAAGTTTGTAAATACCTCCAAAATTTGAAGCCGTAACCCTAATTTCTTTTTTCTTTTGCCCAAGTGTTACAGTGTGTCTATTTCAATTTGGTCTAAATTCAAAGATATTTTTTCAAAAAAACCTCTTTGGCTATAAGAAATGTTTCCACATCCATGTCAGGATTATCTAAAATACACTGCCAGCCCAAAAAACCAGACACTTGAATTTTTTATGATTACTTGCAATTGGTCAACTTTTGTAAAAAATGTTCCAAAAGGTAAAGCATGAATGTATTCTTTAACAGAAACCATAACTTTATTCTAAAACATGCGGAAACAGAAAAAAGTTAGAACACTAAACATTACTGTAAAGTTACAAATATTCAAGTATCCGGGTTTTTTTGTCTGGCAGTATATTTAAACCACAATCGCAGTCGGGACCAGCGTACGTACATTTTTACGACATATTTTTTACGAATACCTTGTCTAAGACGAGCTTGTTTCACAGACGAACAATATTTTTTTGTTAGTAACCCAGAGCCGTTTTTTGTTAATTTTTTATCACAGCGCGGCAAGTAGATTTAAGGAAGAATTGCTGGTTGCG